AAGCATTCTCGGACACGCTCTCCTCTCTCTCTCTCTCTCTTCACAAACAAAGTAGTAGGTTCCTCTAGGCATTGAACTGTACTTATACCTTAATTTGGACCACCCCACCTATTGCTGATCCTCGCATGAGTTAGAACCTTGAAACACCTACCATGAAGAATTAGATGCTCAAATGAGATCATAAAACCAATAGTTTTAGCATCAAATTCCTTTTACCCCACAAAATGAAGTCCTTTCCTCTTCCTTCAAAAAACCCCACTTCCGAAATAATATCAAACAATAAGGGGGCAGAGACATAAAAAGGAGGATGCATGGAAGGGACTCCTCTGCCGCCTCTGTAATTCAATAAAATAGAAGCCGCGAAATGCGAGAGATCACCACCACGGATCATTAAAAGGCCTTCAAAATTAGAACAGGATCAGCCCTAGGTTCAGCCCAATATCGATTGTCCAAGCCCTGAAGTTGATAATTCTAAGCAACCAGTGGCTGTCGAAATTGGACCTCTAATTTGCCAATGGTTCCGTCCGATAATCAAAGGCCCAACGAGGCCGTCGATGTCCCGAGGAAATGGGCCAGCTGCACCTTTTCCTGTTTCAAGTGGAAGGCAAGTTATGGGGGTCGACCTAGTGATAATGGGCCTTTTATTCCAGGCTCATGGGGGTGGGCGTGAGCCGGGTCGGTTTAGACGCGTGACCATGTTCGTTGGGTTCAAGGCCGGGCTGTGCTTGATCTAAGCCCGGTCGAGTTAGAGTGGGCTGAGCCTACTTCTCTAATTCCGGGTCTAAGACTAAATCCAATCCGACCAACGAGCCGCCTAAATGCGGGATGAGTTTGACCTGACCCACGGCTAGTGCGTTGTGGGCGTGCCCATTGGTTTTTTCGTCCAACTTTTCCCCCCCTCTTTTTAAACATTTTTACTTATATTAAACTTGTATTTACAATTATAAAATTATTTCTAGTAAGTAATTTAAATTTGTATTAAAATTTTTAATCATTCTAAGTAAACAACAACGAGTTCAAGGATCGTCGCTTTGTTTTTCAATGGATCATAAAGCCCAGAGCCAAAAATCTATGGCCTTTTAGCTTTGTTGGAAGCTAGTTGCAGATCCAAAGGGCCAAAAGAACAGCTAAACTAACTGATATATATATATAATTAGCTAGGTGGGTCGGGCCGGGGCTGGGCGGGCCGGATAAATACCAATCCCTATTATGGGTAAAAAGATACAGATCGAAACAAATAGTTCTCTTGGTCCAGAATCCACAAAATTGGAATTTGGAACATTGAATAGTTTGTATCCATAGAACATCTGACGTAACATAGATAATAAATAAATAGGAGTTAATATCATTCCAATTGCCATTACAAATGTAATTAATATTTTTGGCATTAAAAGAAATTTTGGACTGGTAATTATTCCAAAAAATACTACTAATTCCGCAACAAAACCACTCATTCCTGGCAATGCAAGAGAAGCCATTGAGAAACTACTAAACAGAGTAAATATTTTTGGCATTGGAATGGATATCCCCCCCATTTCGTCGAGATAAACAAGACGTATTCTATCACAACTCGTTCCTACCAAGAAAAAAAGTGCAGCACCAATAAATCCATGAGAGAGTATTTGTAATATGGCTCCGTTGAGTCCCATGCCGGTTATAGAACCAATTCCTATAATTATGAAACCCATGTGAGATACAGAAGAATAGGCGATTCTCTTTTTTAAATTGCGTTGACCAAGAGAAGTTGAAGCTGCATAGATTATTTGCATTGTCCCTATTATCACCAACCAGGGAGAAAATATAGAGTGGGCGTGCGGTAATAATTCCATATTGATCCGAATCAATCCATATGCTCCCATTTTTAATAAGATTCCAGCTAGAAGCATACATGTACTGTAATGTGCTTCTCCATGGGTATCTGGTAGCCATGTATGTAGGGGTATAATCGGCAATTTGACAGCATAAGCAATAAGGAAGCCCAAATAGAATATTATTTCTAATGCCACAGGATATGACTGATGAGCTAATCTTTCAAAATCCAATGTTGGTTCATTGGAACCATATAAACCCATACCTAGAACCCCTATTAAGAGAAAAATGGAACCCCCACAGTACTCATGATGGGCTGGGCCGGGTTAGCTCGCGGGTCGACCCGGCCCAAACTCATCCCTACAGGCTCTGGACCACCGTTCGCTAGTCAGGCCAAACTTGGTTGTTCCAACTTTAATTGTTCCCATAACTATTTAATGGTGGTTTTTCTATAAGACTTTTGCTTTACAGTTTACATTCTAACTACTCGTGTTTGTTCCCGAGGAAAAAAAATGACAAGGAAAGTATCTCAGTTTTGATTTTGATAGAACTTTCCTAATTAAGAGAGAGATTTTATGGTATAAGATTTTGTTGGGGTGGATGATAAAATTTAGGGAAGATAAACAAACCCCATTAGTAATTTATTCTTAAAAAACAATCCCTTTCAGATTTAATTACCATTTTCAAACCAGTTTAACCACCTGGTTGAAACTGGGTCGAAAATGACAAATAAAGTTCGAAAACTTCACGAGATTTAAAATCCTGTGAAGTTTAGTGCCTAATTAACCACGCTAATGAAGCTACAGAAGTTTAAAAACTTCACTGGATTTAAAATCCTGTGAAGTTTAGTGCTTGATTAACCACGCTAAACTTCACGGAATTTTAAATTCCATAAAAATTTCAAACTTTATTTACCATTTTCGACCTCGTTTCAACTAGGTGGCTAAATTCAAGTTGAAAATGGTAATTAAATTTCATATGGGTCGATTTTTAAAAATAAATTTCTAATATGGTATATTTTAAAAATTTGTCCTAAAATTTACCATTTTTCTAGTGTCCTAGGTAGGGGTGCTAAACCGTATCTGTATCCGAGTAAATATCAGTAACCATATCCGTTAGGATACGAATATGGTTACTCAAATCTATAACCGATAGGATATGCTTATAGATATGGTTTTGTGGTGAAATATCCATATCCGTATCCGAAATATCCGAATACATATTAGTCATACTCTTACCATAGTTTCGATTTTTAGATTATGGATTTGTGGTTAACTTTGATGATCAAGCTGTCTAATCTTAGCTTTTAGTTATAATAAACATATTAACTAACTCTTTTGTATCACACGAACTATATTTTTCTCAATACTATCTAGTTTTCTCATATCCGTTCTGTATTCGCATGCATATTCGCTTATATATATCCACATGTATATCTATAACCGTGTCCGATTTTAGCGGATATGGATATGAATTTTTCTTACTAAGGTATATCCATATCCGAAATGGGTAAGCAAATATGGATATGGTAAGGGGGTATTTGGTTCAGTAGTGGACAAGAATAGGATTAGGAATCCGATTTTTTTATGGATTCCTACCAAATCCATAAAAAGTTTTAAGACGAATTATGGATTCATGGAATCCTTTTCTTTTCTTTTCGATGTTTGTTTCATAACATGAAAAAATAGAATTTAACTTTATAGAAACACTCTAATTCATATTCTCTAGTTTGGTTTGGAATGAGAATAGGGTTTGGTCTCATAATAATATAGGGTTTGTGAATAAACAGAATCCGAAAAAAGAGGAAGAATAGTACAGGTGTGTCAGCTTTTTGGCTCAAAGCCTCCCAAATCATTAGGATTTGAGTTTCTATAAATCACCATATTTTTTCAACTTTATAGATTTCGAAATCTATAAATTTGTTGTGAACCAAACTCAGGAATATGATTCATAAAGAATCCTTTATTTATGATTTTGCCCTTGTCAAATTCAATACCTATTCCTATTCCATAAAAAAGGTGAAACAAAGACCCCCTAAGCATCATATTCGAGCCGTATCTGAACCAAATGCACCCCTAGTACTAGGTGATATGCACGTGCAGTGTAGTACATGTGGTTAAATATCTTAATTTTTTTCTTTTGTTTTATTTTCTTATTATAACTCGGTTGCTGGCATATTTGTTTTACACATATATACTTGATGATGTAATTTTGTGTGCAAAGTTTCATAATATTTACATTTATGTCCTTTAAGTTTTCGTTATATATGTTTCTTTAAGAAAGAGAACATCGAAACATGTTAATCAACAATCAGTTTCTTCAATGCCTCAAAAGCTTATGATAACAAATGTCATTAAAAATTTGCTATCGGTACTACAATTCTTTACAACACCTCTTAATGACCAATTACACATAATAATCGATATTGAATTCGCATATAAAAGTCACCGTAACTCATCAAATCAAAACAAAATGCTTAGACCATCTCCAATGGCAAGGCAAATATTGCCTTTCTCTCTCCTTCCACCTCACTTTATTCTCCCTCCACATCACTTGCCTTTTTCAATTGCCTTTCAACTTCACAACAACTAGTTTCTCAAAAAGTTTTTTTACTTTATCTTTCCTCCACATCACTCAACTATGATAACTAAGCAAAAATTTAAATTTTTTTTGGTGTCCAAAGAATACAAACTTGATCTCTATTTATAGATCTTGAAAAATAATAAATAGTGGTGAAAAAATAAAAAATTAATTTCAAATAATTATTGATCAAAAAAGTCATTTAAAAACAAAGTGAGAATAATTATAAAAAGTTTATGACATGTGGGGCCCATTTTGAAAGTTAACAGGAAGGCAAATTTTGCCTTTCTCCTCACTTTCTCTCCCCTCCTTTTCAAATGCCTTCCTACTTGCCTTGCCATTGCATCAAAAAATTGTTGAGATTGTTGGCCATTGGAGATGGTCTTACAAAAGAAAACTCTCTCTCTCATTCACAACGATAACAACGTGTCAATACAGTTGTTATCATGAAGAATTAGATGCTCAATTGAGCATGAAACCGACAAAAGTGCAGCCATATAACAAATCATACAACCAATCATTTTAGAATCAAGTTCTTTTTACCCACAAAATAAAAACCTTTCTCATTCCTTTAAAAAAACCCACCACTTCCAAAATAATATCAAACAAGAATGAGGCAGAGACGTAGAAGGGAGAATGCGTGCTGGAGGCTCCTCTGTTGCCTCTGTAATTCAATAATAGAAGCCGAGAAAGGCGAGAGATCACCACCGCGAGCGCCACTACGGACCATTAAAAGGCCTTCGAAACCACAGCAGCCTCAGCCCAGTTTCAATAGGCCAAGCCCGACACTTCCCGATTTTCGCCCACCGCTAGTTGATTTCGAAGAAGATGGACCCCCGGCGAATTTTTCCGCAAATGGGCCACAGGAGCAGCGTGCACAGCCCAATTATTTTGGTCCGAGTCCTGGCCTTGATGGTTTTAGGCCACCTGATACTGGACCGAGTGAAAGGCCCAATGTGAACGTGCATGATGCTGACGGGCCAATTGTTTTGCCCATGGTTCCACCTGTTGTGCAAGATTCTTTTGCAGAGACGAGGCCAGCAACGTATCCAGGAAATGGGCCACCGCTGTTTTCGGGAAATGGGCCCATGTATCCGCCCAGTGTTCAAGATTTGGAAGAAGACACGAGGCCACCGCTGTTTTCGGGAAATGGGCCGAGTGAAAGGCCCAATGTGAACGTGCATGATGCTGACGGCCCAATTGTTTTGCCCATGGTTCCACCTGTTGTGCAAGATTCTTTTGCAGAGACGAGCCCAGCAACGTATCCAGGAAATGGGCCAGGAGCACAGTTTGCTGGTCCAACCGAAAGGCCTGAAGTTATGCCTGGTGGTGGACCTAGTTATGGTGGGCCTTTCGTTCCCCGCTTTAGCCCACCAGATGTTGACTAGGATGTACTTGTTCCTAATATATATAGTGAAATTTAAACTTTTTCGTAGTGGTTTTTCTGTAGAATTTGCAGGTGGAATGTGGTGCTGTCTGAAGTCAAAAAGTTCCTCAATTTTGCTTTACATTCTAACTCGTGTTTGTTTTTTTGAAAATTAAAAAATAATGAGGGAAGCATCTCAAATTTAATTTTGGTAGAACTTTCCTAACTTAAAAAAGAGAATTCATGGTATAAGACTTTGTTGTGGTGGACGATACATTTTACCACTTTTCTAATATATTTTCTCTCACTCGGAATATGCTCAGACAAAAAGGAAAAGAAAAAAAAAACATCTATCAGGCACAAATTCTTGGAACCAAGAGACCCTTATTTCCAGTTTAATACTCGGATAATTTAGAAATCGTAAAAATTAGATTTGATGATATTGAGTATTTTCAGTTTTGTGACAATAGTTATAACACTTGTGATCTTGGCTATTTTGATGCCAACATTTGTAGCCCTGGCCCCTGTCATCATTTTTACCTACTCAATTGTTGTTCATGGCCATTTGCTCCAACCAAAGATTTCTTCACCTATTAATAACAACTTGCGATTTCCCGATGCAGATTGTATAGATGTAAAGTAATCAAAGGAGTTGAATATGTAAAAAACATCGGAAGTAGATGTAAAAGTAATCTAAGGTAACATTAGATATTTGAGCATGAGGTATGAGAATTCAGACCTCATTTTTAATTATAAATAAAAATTTTAAGTATCAATGGGGTTTTGACCGGGACCCATCATCCCCTATCCTCTAAAAGTCCTTTCCTGTGAGTGTATCCGGGAAGAAATCAAATCCCCTCTTAATTAGCTAGGTCGACGTCTCAAGATATATATGATCAGTTATTTCAAAATAGTGGCAACCTGCCCACATATATGGTATTAGCAAGATCTATTAGTCTTTCTCAGTGTGTTGGAGGTGTTCTCTTTGCCCTTTCCATGTGTTAACAGTTAAAAAATGTATGGCCACCGCTTGTATGCACTCAACTTGCAAGATTGATGAGTGGCCCCAATGGAAAGACTTATCAGCCTAATGATAGAGTGGAAAGTCTCTCTTGTGACAAGGCCACAGCCCATCATAAGTAGGGTTGCTACACCGTATCCGTATCCTATAAAATATCCATAATCGTATTTATTAGGATATGAATATGGTTCCTCATATCTATAACTGATAAGATATTGTTACGAATATGGTTTTGTAGTGAAATATCTGGATCCGTATCCGAAATATCTGAATACAAATTGGTCACACTGTTACAATAGTTGTATTCCTTAGATTATGGATTTGAGATTAATTTTGCTTATCAAGATATCTGTTATGGTTTTCCCATTGGCTAAAAGTACAAGCTCATTGTCAAGCAACGGACAAGTGTGCTACATGCTATGCCCCAATCAACTTGACCAGAGACCAGTGGGGACGACCATTCCGTCGACTCGACGATTCAACATTCATTCATGTCGACTCGAAAGACGGTACTTATCGACCCCCCTTTGTTGAAGACGACTCGCCATGAGTCCACTCGACCATTGATTTACGCAACCGACTCGAAATGTGTTACTTCTTGGCCAAGTCAAAGGACAAATTTCTGCTTCGAGCTTATCCTCGCTGACAACGTGTCAAGATCTCATCAATGCTTGTCAGGCATCATCATGCCTCTACCCTCGACAGTCTTCATGACTTATTGGGCCATGCTGTGATTCGTGCGCCACACGTCACATCATGTCAGCGCCGATCACGCAGCTAGTTGCCACCCGACACCTGTAAAGCAAGTGCTAACGCAACCGCTAGCACACACTTCTTCACCGCCATTCTTGTTGGCCTCTTTGTTTTGATGATATTTAACAAACAATTTATCACTAATGTTGTTTATCTAATATTTGTGTTTTTTTATTTATTGTAGACAAACAACAAGTTGGAGGATGGATGGAATCGAGCATTCACGATCATATTAAATGGAGGTTAGCGAAATTGTGGAGTGAAGCCTATGCAATTCAAATTAAAGATCTAAGTTCTAGCTTCATCCACAAGTATACCAAGTTGAGCTACATTGAAGATCTATCAAGATTGGGTAATTTAGTTTAGGAGTTTATATTATGTGTGTTAGTACCTTAAGCTCAATATAATATACACACACACATTTATTGGTTTCCATGTATATATATACATATATGTTTTGGTTTGATAGTTTTTAAGTTTTTCTATAAAACAATAGAATACAATTAAAAATACATTTATTGTTTCATACTTATATGCATATATATGATTTCATCAATATCAGTTTTATTTGGTTCAATAAAATCATATTTACTTTTAAAATGTTTGCAAAATATGCAATTTTGTGAAAATATTGTTTTCTTGGTTTATGGACTTAATAACAATCATAAAATATGCAATTTTGTGAAAATATTGTTTTCTTGGTTTATGGACTTAATAACAATCATATACATCTTTTATTAAGTCTATATAATCATTTTGTAATGTTTCAAAACATGGTTAAACTAAAATGTCAAAACTCATATGTTTACATTTTCATGTTTTGGACTATTTTGTAAAATAATAATATTTTTTATTTGGGAGGTCCTTTTTAAAAACTAGTTTTTGTAGCATGTGTATTATCATGTCTACAATCATTTCTCAAAGTTTTATATTTTTTGGAATTTGTTTGATATTTTTAAACAGGGTTTTAAAATCAGAAAACTGTTTCAAACCTGGAATTTTATGTATCAGTTTGCGATCGGCCGCCATGGTCGACTGCCCTTGAGTCCAGAGACTCAGTACATTTCTTGATGGCTCGCGATCAACCGTGGCAGTCGACCGGATGTAGTCCAGAGAGTTTCACGGTTGACTGCCACGGTCGACCGTCTGTTTTTCTAGAGCCCAGTTTTACATTTTAGTTG